TCTTGTATAAATAAGTTATAAGAGAGTACGATGACGACTAACTACATTTTGCGTCTTTCACGACTTTAAATAAAACTATATATAAACGAGGATACCCTTATAAAATATTTTTCGTAGTTTGTCGATCATTTACACGTTACTGTAATTTGACATTTAAAATCCATACACTCTAAAGGAATAATTATTTATTTTTTAGAATCGAACATTGCAACTACAATGCCATATTAACAAACTACGATTGAAAACGGGATAAACAATCATACAATTATATTTAATCTCAATAACAGTAATGATGAAGCAACGATGCGAAGTAAATCGCGAATTCAGATATGTTTTCAATATATATACTGTTATAGATAGGAGATTTCCAGTAGATATAATTTTTATACGAGATACTTTAATGGATATTGTTTTATATATATAAGTTTCATATTTGTAAGCGCATATTATTTCATATTAAGTAACTTTTAGCCCCTTAGTCGAAATCGAACTGATATTGATTGATCCTTTAACCATATAATTTTATGTAGAGTACATTTGTGTTATTAATATAAAAAGAAAAACAATATTTTACCAACGCTTTATCGATGAAATCTTTTTCAAAGATTTATTACAATGAAATTTACCAGTTATCATGTCAACCTGTTTTAAAAATCAGATTCTTTCAAACCGGATTGGCAACTCAGAATGTATTAGGCATATTCTAGAAATTCAAATGTACCCTATTAGCAAAAACTTAATAAAATTTATAATATTATCTAATACAGTATATTCTTGCACTATTAATGGATGATTATACGTTTTACCCTGATAATATTATATTTTATTATTTAAAATCTTTATTTAGTTTAACTGTAATTTAATAAGGACATTAAAATTAATTTTAGCAACACTGACTAAGACCATTTTATTACTAAATTGTGCATAAAAATTGCAGTAATAAAAATGACTACGATATTGTATGTATATGTAACATTTAGCGATATTATGAAAAGAATATGATAAATATTACATAAAAGAACGTATAACATCCATAGAAAATAGTCTCACTATTTTAAAAAGTATAAAATATTACCGAAATAATATGTAATACTTATTTTAACTCTTATAAATTATGTTTATGTGACACTTTGGGATCATTTTGTGCCTATAAGAGTTGACTTGTAAAGTTGATAAAGCGCTTAAGATAAGAAACATTCTAACTCTTACTATCTATTTCTTTATATATATAAATAACTTTAATGTGTTTAAAACACGCTGACACGCTCTTGCGGTTGCAGTGACATTGTCGTTTTAGTATTGAAACGGAAACAATTGGATGTTGTTCTTTTATATGTGTCATGTATACAAAGTACATGAAAATATCGCTATTTTCTTTACAGATCTCAAATTAGGATCGATATTTTAATTAGAAACGAGATTGCAATGATGAAACTTGAAACTGAGCTTATATGAAAAAACGTCATACGATTTTTCAACTTTTAATTTGAAATAGATGAAATCGTGAGATGAACTCAATTGTCGTAAACATTTGTCATGTAATTACGTGAATCATTAGAAAGAAGCCATGAGTTGCGTTGAGCTGTGTTCATTTTTTCCTCGTATACTTGTTGCCATGAACAGGTGCAGTTAGTAGTTATCTCTTATTGCCGAGAATCGAAAGTAAGGGTATCGTAACTGAATTTTACGAAGGTTTCAATTATTATTTGGTTATTGCGAATATACCACCTTAATGATGTGTACCGTACTAGCGCTCATAGGGCTGTAAGCATTATTTGTGCTTTTTAGTATTTAGTGGATCTTTTTTGAATATATAACATCACGAAGTTGATGAAATCATGTAACTAATTGTAAGATTAGGAAATCAACTAATGGTTTATTCCAAATCAGTATGTGATTTTTTAAATGCATAAATTTGAAAAATTATGTTCCAATATTTTCCATTTTTTTTAATTATATGATTCAGTATTCTAAAATTAAATTGTTGTAAGATCTGAACGTGCACGATAAATGGAAATTAATTCTAATATTATGTGATTTTTTAAAGTATGCGACTTTTATGTATAACTTAATGATTTGGAACAATTCGCGTTGATTTTTTGTTCAAATTACAATATTTTGTCATGTTACTTGGTATTGTTACTTTTTTCAGTATACATTTAATTATATGTAAATACGGCTTATTGAGATATATATATCTCAATATAGTGTTATACTTAAACCGATTCTCTGTTTCCATGATGAGAATAAATGTAGTAGTCGATAGATAAAAACCGAATGTTGTCAATAAACGAGATATAATCAATTTTACAGCAGTTTTGGTTTCGATTGACTAACTGTCATAAAATTGGCTCAAATTATTATAGCATGATCTAAAACCTGCTGTTTATCATAGCTTATTAAAAAATAATCTTCAATTTTTTGCCATTTTATTGCATTTTGCGTGCGTGCGTGCGTGTATGTAGGATGGTAGGTTTGAATATGATTGTGAGTGTGGGTATGAATATAGGTGCAATCTCCTCATGATGTATTTTGAATTATGCTAATGATGGCGGCATACTCAACATTTTTATAAAATATTTTTTAAAATACAGTGAAATAGCAAAAAATTGAAAATTACTTTTTGATAAGCCGTTTTAGAGACGTGTTTTAATATTCATGCTAATTTGTGCCGTAAAAAATTCTTTTGAATCATAGAATTGTTTGACTTTGCAAAATTTTCGAGGTTTAAAATTCTCGTTGAATTTTCCGCTTTGTTTTTTAATGTAAAATCATCTTCGAGGAAAATTAATGTAAGATCGTAATGAAATATAAAGTCCAAGACATGTACGCAATTATAAATATAAATTTTTCAACTATTTGATTTCTTTTTTTAATTTTTTACGTACAACTGTAAGGTGCAACAAGTAACTACCATACTTTCATTTTTATTGAGGTCATCGTACTCTTCCGTTCCGTACTCCCACCAGCTCTATCACAAGAAATAAGAAAGTACAAGCCGTTACTTTAGCCAGTCTGGTTGGCTGTCTCATCAGCGGACCACAAGTTTATACGGTCGTATGGATTATAACGCACGTTAATAATTTTATTTAAGTTGAAATTAATATAATTTTGAAAGAAAAGAACATTAAATATTTCTCAATTTTCGTCGAGAACAATGCAATGGCTTATGTTACTCTGCTATAGTGAGTGAAAATGCATCCTTGTTTCCATTTGTAACATTCTATTAAATACTATGAACTATAAACATACCAAATAACCTAAAATAATTATTGCTCGACACTGAAATCCAGATTGCCTGATTATTTAAATTCAGATATAAATTATTCATACATAATCTAATTTTTAATATTCAAAATAAAATAACAATTTATTTTGTTGTGTCAATATTCGGTTAAAAAAAATTACTGACATTGCACACATCGATTAAATAACATGTATTTAACGTTAATTTCAACACATTAAAAAGACTTTGCAATAATAACATTATAAACGTTAAATTTATTATGTATATTGTAGTCTATACACGTAAACGGTTTTAAAAGAGGGAAAAAAATTATTTATTTTATAACAATTTAAAAAATTAAAATATAGGTAGTTAGGAATCGACGCTGTAATCGTTGTGCTTAAATTAAATGACTTTACAAACGTCTGACATTTATATTGAACATATGTTAATAATTTATTTTAAATGAATGTACGTTTTGGCTAAATTCTAACCATCTTTAACATGGAATAAAATATAATTTCTCATTTATCGCATATTATGCTACGTAGATTTCAATAGCCAATCAACAATTTTTCATAATCAATTGTTAAAAAATTATTAAAATAATGCATATGCAAGTTAAGTACATCAAATTCACAGTCAGTAATAAATAAAACTCATTGAATAACGGTCTCCATGGTTATGAGTCAGTTTATTGTGAGTAATATTAAAAATAAATAATAAAAATTGACGATTAAGGTCATATTTTTTACTTTAGAACTAAAAAGAGAACTATAAATGGTATAAATAGTTAGTGATCGGTAAAAAAACAATGATAAGAAAGATAAAGGACTAAATAACTTTGTATCCATTTAAATTAACTGTGTGTTCTTTTAACGTTTTATGTTTATCATTTCGGAAATTAATCGCTTATTGTAATTTCGCTCAATGTTCAATATTTTAACGTTGTCCCCTCATTAAAATCGTGAGTATGACGTATTTTCTATGTTCACTCATCATTGAATTAGTGATTTTTGCTCTTTAATATTGTTCTTGTGTTCGGAAATTTTCGTCTATTTCTTTAACTATCTGATGATTTTTCCAACATATCAACGATATCAACAATTGGCTCCATGTTAAATCTCTTTTCAAATTAAATAAAGAATATAACCCAAGTGATACTATTTTTAATTATTTTACAATGAAACCTATAAATGTATAATTTATATTTCTATTAAAGGAAATATATGCAGGTATATATGCCTCTTAATCATTTAATTCTTTTTAAAAGAAGTTATTACATATATCACAATTCATTCAAAGACATTTTCTTTTTTAACCAGAGTTATCATTTAATTTTCCTTGAAAACTTTAATACGTCACAAAATTGTGTTATTTTGTTGTTTAATTTAAAAAATATTTTTTAATATTTTATCTTTAATTTAAAAAAAATTAATTTTTTTTCACAAACAGTATAAAATGAGAAAAATTAATTTAAGTAGAAAATTTTTTATATAAAAACACTTGTCGCTCTAAATCTCGATATAATAATAATATAAATGCAATATTTGAAATAAGAAAGATAAGAAACGCGTCTATGAGAGTATAAAAGTATCCAGCTTGTATAATATTGTGAATAGGTTTCACTCTAAGAATAAAAAGTTCATGATAAAACTAATCATATGCGTTTATTATTATAGCTTAGCAGAAAGCCCGCTATCTTATAAATTAGGAGTCTATACTATATAACAAACGACTTTTATCCTATTAAATTAAAAATAATATTGTTCAGTAACTGCCGCAAGTTCACTTAGACTCGCTGCATATATATCTTCTGGAGGTCTTCATGGAGAAATTCGATTCGAAAGAGCTACAGAATCTTCGGTACGAATACGATATTCGCTAAAACCAACTTTACAGTATCCAGATCAGCAATGGCTGTGGTCAGTCACTTATTTTCCAGTCGATTATACAATCATCGATGGCAGATGCGATGAACGACATATTGGTCAAAGGTAATATATACTTATATATAATATTTATGATTCTACACATATTGTGACCAACTATAAGTTATGAATACATGCATATATAGGGTGTCCCAAATTAAAATATCTAAATTTCGGGAGCGCGTGTAGAGGCCAAAGCGCATGTAAAATGCTAAGAAAAAAATTCTGTAGAAATATACTCGTTTTTGCTACGTTTTGAAGAAAATCACAAAAAAGACAAAACGTAGTTGTTTCGTTTTTGCATTGCTTCTGAAGTATTGTATTATCGTTGTTTATATCCGTCGGACGAACGAAGCTACATTTACAAGAGGAATTATTAATCAAAAAAATTATCATGTATGAACCCATGAAAATCCTAGGACTGTTAGGGAAACTAGGTTTCAGCATGAATTTGCTGTTAATATTTGGCTCGGAATTTGGAACGACTCTCTAATAGGACTATTTTTTTTTTACCCGACAGATTAAATATGCAGCCAGATTCACTGAGTTTTTGGAGACTGATTTCTTTGATTATTTAGAAGATCTGCAGCAACAGATTGAAATGTGATTTTAACTCGATGGATATGTCCAGCTGTTGTTTAATAATTATTATTTTCATTATTACCATGTTATATTTTTACAGTGTGATCGATTTAACGGAAAAAATCGGGCCTCTGGAATTGCCAATAAATCAAACAGGTTCAATAGAAGTTGCAAACCTATCTTTAACAGGAGAAATGGGTCTGTGGGGGAAGAGTTTGGTATTAAAAGATAATTATTCGCCAAGAACGATATGTGCTTCTATTACGGTAATACATCCATATATATATATTACATATTGTAATAGAAAATGAAAGAAACAAGTAAATAAAACAGTGATAAATAAAATTAATAATAAAATTAATGATAAATATTATAAAGATGGATTCTTTCAAACATTTTAAGACAAGTTTTAAAAAAATGTCGAAGCTGATAGTTTTCAAATGGGAAGGGATTAAAAATTATATGAGGCTAAAATTTCACGCGATGGCATCGTTTCAGAGTTGGCAAAATGGTCAGTGTAAAAGTGTTTTTTCGAATGTTATGACTTTATTAATAACAAAATTCAACATTTTCACAAGCACCATTTATCACTGTTGAGTATGCGAAATTTTAACGCTATTATTCATAATTTTTAAACTCCTTCTATTTAAAATAAATTAGTGTAAAAAATAATAACAACCTTATAGGATTATAAAAGTCAAATCGCCGTTCAAATGGCATCAATTAACTTCTGTTAACATTGAATGTTATTTATTCTTTATATTGTACATAATATACAAATAATTAATAATATACAAAGTTGCGGCTCCAATTCGGGTTATCTTCAACGCAGAATGACTTTAATGATTTTCTTCACACCTCCGTTGATCAACACATTCTATTAACTAATATTTCCCGATGTTCATCGGCAAATTCCAACTGAAAAGTTAATTCAATGTTGATCTTATATGTCATTTAAATAGATGTAACCGTACACCTTATAATGCATCATTCTCGGCCGACTTCCGCTATACATAGAGGGGCATATTACACGATATTCGGTATTCGGATGACATCAATCGCCGTATAAAAAATGAAATGTTAATTTTAACTCAAAGACGTTGTGAGTGAATTTTCTGAAATATGCAAAAATGTTAAAATTAATATTTTTCTGTTAATTTTAACACTTTTACATATATGAAAAAATTCACTCAACATCTTTGAGTTTAAATTAACATTTTATTTTTTACAGTGTATTCGCCAAAGTTCGTCGACTGTGACCGATCACACCGCCAATCGGTATCTCCTCCGCACGAGTGCTGAACTGACAAATCGAGCGCGAACAACAATTTCGTATACATGATAAACCCACATTTTGCAACAGCAAAGCCTATTCCGTCCTGCTCCTAATCCGGACCTTTTTACTATTATAGTTTTATGCGGCACTCTTATTCGTTTACTCCGATGGAATTTTCTATCGGGGTAAAGAGTGTTTTCTGCCTCCGCCGAGGCATCTCGACCGTCGACCGTCGCATCCTTACAAACGCTTCTCCATTGCAATGGGGAAGCGTACAGGGAAATTTCGCGCCGCGACCGCGACCGATCACGCGTCCCGAGCCTACCACAGACGACTGCGTGCGAATTAAAGAGCTGCGAGTTAAAGAGCCCGATGCGACACAGTTTTTGCGGCGCTCATACACACACACAATGGGCACGTTCAAATTGGTAAAGCGGTTAGCCTGCTGGTCGAGCAAGTGAACATAATTGCAGGTTGTTACTTATTATAGATCTAACTAATCATATTCGATCGCTCGACTAGCGTACTTAGCCGCTTTGCCTATCTATCTGTAAAACATCGTCAGTTTTGGGACATCTTGTATTATCAGTAACTACTTTTATACAGGTTCTTGAAAAAGATATTGAGAAATTTGCTCAGGCACGTTTTTACGGTCCTATTGCTGGAGTAGTTTTGTTCCGATGGTTGGACAATCAAGTGGGCGATGAACTTGATACGATTATCCATACGAATTTACATCACATTCACAAACAGAAATTACAATTGTTTAACTACACCGAGCATCATTGGAAAATATATGTTACTGATATTTTAGAAACTGGCAAAGGTCGGTATTTGTAAAATTATATTTAATTTTAATAATCTTCAGTTGTGCAATTTTTAATAATGCATGTACGTTATTGAGGAATCATTCATAAAATTAATTCTTTATATATTCTTAAAATATTTACGTTTAGATAAAAACAACTGTAATATACTCCAAAATGTATTCGATCCTAATAATTCTGAAGTTGGAAAATCTATCGGAGATGTCGACGTACGTTTAGGCAAAATAAAAGTTGCTATTAACACGCAGGAAAGATATAAAACTTTTTATAGAGATTCAAAACTGTCTTTACTACCAACGGATTTGCTAGGACCACATCGTCACTTATATTTAGTTATTTTCCATCCTGTGCACGAGGATTCATTTTTAGCCTGTGCAAAAATTAATCATCGTAAACCAACATATACCAAGTAAGAGTTACATCATTAGCCGTACTAAGGAGCATACAAACTTGCACAAAATCTGAATATAAAAACATTCATTATACATGAAACGTATTATAAGTTAAATGAACAAAGTAGTTACGCTTCTTTAAGATCCCAATATTCATAAAAAATTAGCAAAAGTATCGATATACCTACATATAACATAATGTAAAAATAAAATTTGAAATAAAACAAAATATTAAAACAAGATATCACAATATTAAAACAAGTAATATATTAAAATAAAATTTTTAAAAAATATTCAGGGCCATAATCAATTCACATGGCATTAGAGGCCAAATTACGGCGATTCAAGAAACGCCATTCAATCCAACGTGGATCAATATTTCATTAACGACAATAAATGATTTGGAAATTAGATTACGGTACGCTACTAAAATAGTGTCCTATAGGATTCACGAATTACCACCAGAACCGGCAAAAAATGTTGGAATTACTGTTGATTCATGTTCAACTACTAAAAAGTTATTTAATCCTTTAAATATCGACGAAAAGACTACTCCACCACCAGGTAATTAGATTATAAAAAAAGAAGTTGCTAAACAATATAAATACAGTACTTCGTATATTACATAATGCACATTAATCAGTAAAAAATTTAAACTAACGACAAAATTTTAAACATATAGTAATGAAATATAAGTAATATTTTAATTACTCTATAATTTATCGTATAGGCTTCGGTACTCAGGATCAATATGCTATTGGCGATCTATCTGGAAAGCTTCAAGATCGAAAGGAAGGATCATATCACAATGATATTTTACCTGGAAGTGCTAAACTCAGTGGAATTTATTGGGATACATATTTACCACTTTCTGGGATTCACAGTATTATTCACAGATCTTTAGTTCTTTACAGGTAAATGATTATACATCGTGAAATTACAGCATGAATCAGTGCAATGAACAATATCATTCAAGTTATATATGAATTTAAATGGCTTGAAAATAAACAAAATAAGAAGTCAAGCATATGTCACGCATATGTCACTGGATCGTATTTAATTAATACCTAACAAACAAATTCATTTTATTTTTGTATTATTCCGTTTCACATTGTTCTAATTTTATTGTATACTGAAGATGACCACATTTAGGGTCGAAACGTCTAAATTATTGTAATTATTTACAGATTTTAATATGTCATTCAACATTATTAAGATCTATCAAAGATGCGTAAAGAGCATCAAAAATTATTAAAATGTTAGTCAATTTATCTCGTAATATTACTGCAGTAGTTTAGTTTAGAGCATTTCAAGTCTGAAAAAAGTTTGGCGGTTACAATATAGAATTGTAAACACTATACAAAATTAGACAATTACAAGTACTTGTTGCTAGAATATTTTTCAGAGAAAAATTTCTATTATGATCTCAACTTATAAAGATCTGCTCTTCTAAAAAGAACACATATTTGCATACACGTAGTCTAATTATTATGAGTATATTATATGTATATATATTTTAAGAGTTCTTTCATAAGACATTTAATAAAACAAAATCATTCCTTATTAGGTATAATGAGACTGATAATACAGGTATGGTTCCATGGGTGTGTGGCACGTTTTTACTTTATACACCATATACCGATTGGCAAATGCCGTTGTACACAGCGGAAGTGGTATTCAGGTATCCTATTGTTGGTCGGATACTTTTCCGGCAACCTAGAGAGGATCCTGAGATGGATACTACTGTTATAATAGAATATCTCGTTCATGCTGATGGCAACGCAATAAATAATACTGCAAATCATAGGTAACTTCTGTTTTATATAAAAATATAATTGATTCCAGTAATTGTAACATCAACCTTTCATATAAGATCAGTTATTATAAGTTGCATTATTTTATATTTTTCATTAATACTAAAAAGTGAATCATATTATTAAATTATGTCTGTATTGAGTAAGCATGTGACTATTGCAAAATTACTTTCCTTCGCGTACGCGCGAAGAGATTTGTATTCAGTGTCTATAAAACTATGGAAAATGACATTCTTTCTGGATTTTCTTCGTCGAATAGTGTAATTTGTACACCTCGGATGTTTTATTTTGGACTAGAAACAGCTAAAACTTAACATTTTTTTTTTTGTTTAGATGGATGATACATGAGAATCCATCAGGAAAAGATTTTTACAACTGGACAAAACGATGTTTGAGTGCTGGATCACCCTACAATCCATATAAGGTACCGAAATTATTTAGAATATTATAATCCGTATATTTGAAAATTAATTGCTACATATTTAACTATGATTGAAATATTTAGGACTATAACGTTTTAGGTGGACTCGAAGCCGAATAGTTCCTGTTTTATTCCAGAAGTCTCGTTATGTCGTTTGGGTGATTTAACGAGACATGGAACACTTGAAATTGCCGGCAAAAAAGTCAATGCCTCGAAATTGACTCGAAGACTTTTTACTGATACGATGTTATCTTTATCTGGATCTCACTCACTATTTGGCAAAAGTTTAGTCATTTATGATGATCATGGTCCAGTTGCAAGAGGAGATCGACTAGCCTGTTCAACGTAATAAACATGTAATAAATTAAATTAAACTACATTTTTTTTAGTAACAGCGTGTAATTATATTTTTAGTATCAGTGGCGTTTACCGACGTAAAGCGGTTGTTAGAGATTGGTTTGGTAATGGCGAACAAATATCTTTAAGAGGAAAATTGGAGTTATTGCAACAGACTGAATACGATATCACTAACGTAGAAGTATCTCTCGAAGGTCTCAATGGAAAAATGAGTGGATATCACGTACATATGGTAATATTTATGGCACAAATATATAAAATACATATGCTTAACGGTATAAGTACTTATTTTACGTTATGCACGTGTGTGCCAAGAATTAAGAAAAATCATAAATGTGTATAATAATTTAATATTTAAGAAAAAGATCCTTAATTTCATATATTGATGATCCTTTTTCGAAAATCAACATTTTGCATCTTCGTGAAGTTAGCATTTCATCTTCAAAAATCGGAAAATTTATTAATAGTTTTGCTTGTACCCATAATAGTTCTACAATTCCTAATAGATTTTATAAATAATTCCGTTGATTTAGTAAAAAAAAAAAAAAATAATAAAATTGAAACATGAGATACTAACTTCGCGTGGTACCTCAACTTTCAAAAAAGTTGAATCGTATTAAAAAATTTTATTGTTCTCGAAGAGTTCTATATAGTTTCTGATATATTTTAGTAATAGTTACAATCTTTTATATAACTTTCAAACAGCTATTCAAGCTCAAATCAACGATACCATCTTATGTACACCTTGAAATCATTTTTGTTTGAAACGTATTTTTCTAAAATATACCTACACACTATTTCCGAGATAAAAGAAGTATGCGAATGGTTACCTGCAGACACCTGATGCGTGCGTGCGTGCGTGTATGTGTGTGTGTACAAATATTTATATACTAAAGGATACGTATATCACTACTCATAATTTGTAGGTGTCTGTGGAATACGGTTTGGAATTTCCATGCGAAGAGACATCACTCTACGAAACCTGGAATCCTTTAGATGTTAATAGCGATGTTCCAGCAGCAGAAGAAGGTACTCTAGATCAATATAAGGTGGGTGATTTGAGTGGAAAATTCGGCACATTAGATAACAAAAAAAGATATACAATGACATACAACGATACAATGTTACCTCTATTTGGTCCAAGGAGCATACTAGGACGTAGTGTGGTGATTCATAGAAAAGAAAAAAATTTAAGGTAATTAATTTTGATGGTAAAATGTATCCTCTAAAATTTTCAATGCAAAAGCTCACTCTGAAGAGTGAAGTTTCTGTTAAAAGTAGAAAAAATTATTAAAATTTCCAAATACACATAAAAAATAAAAAATTTTTTAACAAAATTAATTCAATTAAAGTTATTATAATTTAAAGAATTACAAGATAATATTATTGTTTAAGAAAAAAGTTTAATACACACAAGTTTGTGCAAATTTTGGACAAAATTTGTAATTTAAATTCATTTTAAAAGTTTGCTCTTCAATTGTTACATAAATCATTTTTTCGAAATATTAATTTTATTTCCAAAGTATGTATTTGGAATTTTCAACACTTTTATTTATTATATTTTTACTTTGTCTTATTTTGTGGAGTATTAATCTGTCATATTTGCGTTTAGATGGGCCTGTTCCACTATAGAACGAGGATATTCTCCAACTGATGCCTATGAGTTAAGTGCTATAGCATCATTTCATCATCCACAAGGCTTTGTATATGGCTACATAAAGATGGTAATTTGTCAAATAAAAGTTTTCCGCAAAAATTTTACACAAAAAGATACATGACTTTTCGAGACAATGTACAATTGTAGACGCAGCTCGTTTATAAAGATGGTAGCCAAAGTGAGACGATAATCGAAGTAAATTTACGACATCCCGGAAAGCACAATCGCAATATCGTAAGAAAATTAAATTTGTCGACTGTATGTCTAAATTACATTGTGTTAATTTCGTATTCAATTTTAGACCAGAAATCATAATTGGGCTATATATGTAAACCCAGTGGGTGTGGATGCCGCAGTGAAAATAAAGGATACTCGATGCGTAGCAGCGGGATACACATGGAATCCCTATTTTACACAACTAGCCGATCCATTGAATGTAAATATCATGATTTTTAAAATATATTTTTTAATTTAATCACGCGCGAACGTGCGAAAAAATTACAACTTTTTATTAGTATACATATTAATTCGGATAAATGAAAACAACAGATATAGTTCCGATGATCTTGATCTTGATATATATAAGTATACGATATTCTCACAAGGTTACACGCGCGCACGACGCTGAATGATCTTTGAAAGGTTTTAGCTCACGATTATGTTTCCTTCAAAAGTTATTGACAAAAAAGGAAATTTCTTTGTGACGTCCGACCTATTTGACATTTAGTTAGATAATATTTGGCAAAAATATAAAGAATTAGACAGTCACCTATCTAACCCAGATCTTTATCCATGCGTACTTGACCTATCTATATAATTCAGGCAGATCTATGTGAATTATGAATATATTTTCATTATGAATATATCTAGTGAATTATGATATCTAATGGCAGAAATCCTAAATAAAAAGATAAGAATAGATTGACAAAAATAATTGGATTCGAGAACTGGACACACGCTTAATACGGCATTATGTCCATAAGTGACAGAGAACGCGAATTTAATTTTTACAATTAAATACACACACACATTTAAAACTTTATTTTTAAATAACTTTCGAGCAAATAATGAGCACGAATTAAAATCTGAAGATCACTTAAAGCCATGGCTTTGACAACAAATATCAAAATTATCGGAAATGGTTATTTTCACATTTGCCTTAATTAGTTAAGATGTATCAATCAAAATGCGTCTATCAAAATAATTATTTTATCGTTTCTTAGGATGATCTTTACAGAGAAGAATGTGGTCCAGATTTGCCTCTTAGATGTTATGTTGGTGATATATCATCTCGTCTAGGCCCTATTAATGTTGGAGAAAAACGACAAATATTTACAGATCTCAACTTTCCTCTGGATGGATCGGTAACCGCAATGGGCAAATCTATCATCATTTTTGATAAGGATTTTGGTAGAAACAGATTTGCTTGTGCAAATATTGAGCCTGATAATAATATCATTAAATATGCAAATATTAGAAAACCATCGCGATTTGTTGTGTAAGTACTACTTACATAAGACATTTACGACACTAGATAAGATATCGTGCACGATGATATATATGTGTATCAAGAAACGTAGTAGCATCTTCACCGACAACTACATCACTGATCCAGACAAATTTGTACAACAGTCTTAATCAATGCACACTAGTGCGTTCCAACTAAAATTGCTAACAGAAAGAGTGATAAAATGCATATTACATAAAATACTGCTTAATTATTATCTGTTATTTATTTACAAAAAACATATAATATTCATTTAATAATGATTAAATTCTAATCAGTCAAATATTTATATTTAGATCTTAGGATTTTATATTTAGATCTTAAGTTTTATTAATTTATTAAAATTTAAACAAAATAAAAATGAAACTCACAGAAAGATAAAATAAAATTCTATGTACTTATTAAGCATAGAATCTAAAAAAATGTTTCATTTAGATTTTGATTTAAATTTGTAGCGCGCAATGATACCTCGCTAATTAAATAGTTTTTGTATTTACATTTTGAGCAGTTTTATAGTTTATTATTTAATAATATACATACACTTTTAAGTTCAATGTAAAAAACAAATTTTTGCTGATATTCTTTTGTTTCCGTAGAGCACAGTTCTTAGAGGATGTAAGAAAAGTGATGGGTATTCCTGAATGGATGTTATCCATCGACAGCAGAAAAACCAGAATATTACATAATGGAGCATGCATTCAATTTCTTTTACATTTCAAAGGTAAATACTTACCGCAACATTATCTAAATGTACAATATCGATTTGTTTTTCCTTTAAATTTGGTGATTCTTCAGTAAAGTGCCGAAAATTTGGGCCACCAAGGGCCCACACAAAATTATAAATATCTGCGTAATTTGGTTAAAATATTAAAACTACGGATACATCTTAATGAAACAATATGAAATGATCTTGTGTGCAAAAATGATAAAATAAAAAACTGACATCTTGGATAATTAAATAGTATTTTTAATAAAAAGATCATTAATTTAAACATGCTACCAAATTTAATTAATTATACTTCTATTTTAATTGTATTTTCAGGTCCAATTGCTAATAAATTGGAGCAAGATTTTAGCAAGCTCTTATCTATTGGTAAACTCGAAACTCCTAGTTTATATATTCCCGGATACATCCCAATAAAAAGAAAAACTACATTAGGACATCGACAGTGTGGCATACGCGATTTGGATGATGATGGTAAATTTAATTAATTTAAATAATAAATAGATAGTATTGTTATTAAAACAATAAATTAAACAATATTATCATTTTTTATAATATTAAATTAATATTACGATTAATATTTTTTACAGACTTCAACGTCCATCGTAGCATGTCTATTTCGTTATTGGCAAATATGTTTGTGATATTTCTAGCAATAGTAAATAGTGTAACGTAATTCAACACTAAATTTAATAATAATAACTGTATGTATACCTTTGTTGTCCTTATTATATAAATATTTAAATATATCTTATATTTTTTATTATAATATTTAAAAATTAATATTTTTTCTTTGAATGTTATTGCTAATTTTGAACTCATAAAAAAATTACTAAAAATTGCAAAACTTAATGAGGGCGCATAGGGTTCAGTATCTTAATATAATTGTTAATAGTTAAATATGACACGATTAATTCTAACCTGCGGACATTTATTTCGCAAAAATGAATCCCTACGCCAGGTGCGACGGATTATCATAATATATACATTTCACAAATTTTCACAATTTAATGTTATCTGATTACAAGAAGTCATTGATTTTCCGCGAGCAAACAATAAAACGAGGAATACATTGTTATCACGTTATAGGGAATGTAACCGACAAATTTCACGCAGCGTTCGCACTTATCTACTAAAAATAAAGTCTCAAAGAAGATGCAATTTCGAGAGAAACTACACGTTAACGTTTATTCGAATGTAGTCTGTAGAATATGTTAATAATTTCGTTCTAATTTGTAGAAGCCGTTGAAATATGTATTGAATATTTAAACTATACTCAAATAACGAATATATATAAAGGTGTTATCATTCCCTTACTTCAAACGTGACATACTTCAATAAGTTTTTTTAAAAAAAGAAAAAGGTGTTTTTCAATTTAACTTAAAATTATTAATTGATCAAACGATGTCAAAAGAATATATTTTTAATTATGAGATCCTAAAGTCGTCTGTTTTACGTAAACTCATTAATATTTTTGTAGAATAATATCGCATGTTACTTTTAGAATCCACACAAAATAGAAGAAATAAAGAATTAGGAACAAGGAATGACGATTTCAATCTATCAGAAACTGTGTATTTTGCTATATTTAAATTCCAATTGAAATCGTTATTTCTTATTCCTAATTTCTTTTATTCCTACTTTTATTATGTCTGTACCCTTACAGATTTAGAAATCCTTTTTTAGACTTAAAATATACGCATTAATACTAGTCTACAGCGTGGAATTTATGTTGAAAACAAAGAACTTATTTAAAATTGAAATCTTCTTTAATATATTTCTTACTTTAATATGGTGTTTTAAACTGTCAAGTCATGAAAACATTAATATAAACACTTGATATAAAAGCTCTGATATAAACACTTACGAAAGTATAGGCTACAAACTAGTAGATTACAAACTAGTAAATAATTAACTAATTTAATACTGTTAAGAAATAACATAAAGTTCTTAGAAGTAGACTTACAGTTTAACATCTAATTCCTCACGATATCACGCAAAACTTAATAGGAGCTGGTTACTTTAATATAATTATTAATAATTGAATAACAGAATATAATTATCTAACATGCAAATATTTATTTCGCAAAAATCATTCATGATACCGTATGCAACAGATTATCATAATGTATACATTTCACAAATTTTTACAATTTAGCATTACATATATAATACATACTACTATACCAATATCGCACGCACCTAGTATGCAGATAATTTTTCTACGAAAATTTATATACAATGTGTCCCATTTTAAACAACGATGTTAAATATTTTTGAACACACACAATGCATTTTAGAAAAAAAATGAGTCAGGAAATAGTTTTATGATTTTAAGTAGGATATAATAAATTGTCAAGGTCACGATAATATGTTTAAACATTTTTAATAGAACCTTTCATTTTTCCTCGCAGTTTACCTCGAAAGTTTTTCAAAACATTAATATAAAATTCTTTTTGCTTTTTAAAGAGGAACAACCTTTAATGGTCTTGATTTTGACAACACTCAAGATCAAACCAATGATACCTTTTTATGCCATCCTTCAAGTCCTAAAACTGTTGTGTAACTGAAATATTTTTCTCTAAAATGTACTATTCAAGAGATATTCGAAGCTGTCATTTAAAGTAGGACATTTTGTATATGTATGTGCGTACGGTACTGACGTAGTAATGATGTAGTGTCGATACACATAAAATCGTATGTAAGTCTTATTGAATCAGTAAAACAGACGAACTTGGGATTTAACATAATTAAATCATTTCTAATAATAAATCATTTTTATCATTTTCTCTTCACAATCTTAAAAATCTATCAATACTGAGTTATTACAACAGTTTTAATAGTTTCTTAAACCACCTTTTTTAAGTTTTGGGTTTTAAACGATTCTTAACAATTTGAAAACCACGTGTTTTTAAGCATCGCTTTTAAAGTAAGGAAGCGATATAGAGTAACTTAAGAGATATCTATAGCAGTTTTAAAACTATTTATTTAGTGTTGCTCTCTGTATATAATAAATTATATAAATCTATAATAACATACGATGCATAACACACGATTGTCGCATCATTACGGAAAAAATTGAAAACAAAGATATTAAATAAAATGCGAGTATTTATAAATTTGCGTATAAAGACTGAAATTTTAATATAAATAATTCCTTTCAGATATGTGTAGCTAAATTAAAATCATAATAAGATTAATATTTTCTTTCGGATATGGGTGAACATTTATGAAACTGCTTAGGTTTTGGCATACGGTAATTCATTTCCTTTTACTTATTGGTGATGTCCATATCTGTACGATGTGGGCGACGATGCAACGCTATCTAAAAATACAGCATGCAAGCCTTATTAGATACTCTTGTTTTTATTGTCTTTTCCATTGTCATTTAAATAGCTAAAATATCCTTCTTTTTAACGTTTTGTAACTAGCACAGAATAATCTTTACTGACGCAGTTTTATCTCTTTCTTGATATTTTGAAGAACTTTCTTATTTTCCATCTATATATAGATCAACTTTTATATCCTATAAATCGATACTAATCCCTAGAAATCCATTGATTCACTAAACATACCCATTGATCCACTAAAATCGACAGAGGATGAACGTTGACTCGTTGAGTGTCTCTGTGAGTCCTCATAAAAGGTTGACCAGATCGTTCCCGAAATTCGTCGTTCGGAAGAATGTACAATAATTCGTCATTCGGCAATGGTACTTTAGATTCTTGAATATTCTGGCTGATGCTTTCTTGTAAACTGTTGCGTTCTACAGTCGAATCAAATCTTTTACCATAACCACCATAACAGGTGTGCCCGAACGCCGCGCAACCACCTGCAAAAAATTAATTACTGATATTAATCAAATGGATTATCTGCATAATCAGAATAATAATTTGGAATATGGTTATGTATTTCATTAAGTCTGTTCAAAAAAATATTTGTGTTTTTGTTTATATATTATTTATATGTTGCTACCTGTTATATTTGAAAATCTCTGACTACTTTGTATAATATATA